GTGGTGGAGTCTCCCACTCTGGAGACATTCAAAACCCGCCTGGACGCCGTCCTGTGCAACATGCTGTAGGTGACCCTGCTCTGGTGGGGGGCTTGGACTAGATGATCTCCAGAGGTCCCTTCCAACCCTGACCATTCTGTGATTCTGTAGCCTCACGGCCTCCCAACACCACTGGCCTTTCCCCACTCCACTCCTCATTAGTCAGATCACACTCCCATATGACTAGCAGGGTTTTACCCTCCTTGTCCCCCCCCAGTACAGGAGCTGCAGCCACTCCTGAATAATGCAATTAGAGATTCTGAGACAAGGTTTTTTCTTTCTGAGTGTCTGTTGTGTAAACTATGACTTATTCCTGAAGCTTTAATTTCCATTCCAGATTCCCCCAAACGTGGAGCCTGGGTGACAAACAGAGCCAAGAGAGAAGGCAGGACGGGCCTCAAGGGATGGCTGGGGATAATCCTGGTCTCCAGCTCTGGGAAGACACCGCTAGACTGAGCAACAGCACCAGAGAATTGCCCAAGCGAGGGCAACTAGTCATGCAAGGAACGTGACTGCTGGATTCCCCTGCAGTAGGAGGTGATGGCGCAAGAAGTGGTAGAAATGACCACGTCACTAATTCACCAAAAGCAAGAAGAGTGCTGCTGTCAGAGGGCAGCGATGATTTTCCAACCTGTGGTTCACACACATCATGCGTATGTCCTGCTTAAGAAAGGCATCACCAGCACGTGCAAGCTGCGAAACACAACATTCAGAAAGTTTGGGCGTTTGAGGATCAAGGCTGCTGCCGCAACTGCAGTTTGGGCTCCTTCTGCTAATGCTTTTTTTGATGGTGGCCTTAATTACTTGATCAGATAAGGATCTTCCCTGCAGAACTGCTGCCCCAAGGGCAGTGCTGTTAGTTGCAGCATAGACTTTTCTGCCTGCTGAAAACTGAAGGCACTCATTAGTGCTCCACCAGTCTCAATACGATGTTGCTTCCTATAAACATCCCTTTTTAAGATAGGGACAACCTTCAGACAAACACAGAGGATCTATTAAGGAAAAAAAAATTGTCTGGAGTATTTTAATTTTTAAGGATTTCCTACAAGGGAGGCACATGCAATAGGGTCAGTCTCTTAGCCGTATCTTCACCTTAGAAAATCAGTGCAGCTTCACTGTGATCACAGACAGTTATCTCAGCCGTCGGATTTAAAACGATAGGTGTCATGTAGATACAAGCAGCACATGATAAATATCCTAAGTGTTTACTATTGCTGCGAAGGATTGCCCGTATCGCAGTGCGCTAAAGCTTGTTTCCAGGGAGGAAAAAACAGCATGCAGCTGACAGCTGTTCCCTCGCCAAGCAAATGCTTCTTCTCAGGCATCACAACCCTCAGCGAGCTATTTCAAAAAGGAGACGGGGGGCCTTCATCAGAGTTGATTATTGCCAGAAAGAATAAGCTGCAGCCTTATTTTCCTGTTAGCCTGATTTATAAGTTGTTTTTTTTTTTTTTTCCTATTGCCATTTGTTTGCTTGTTTTCCACTGGCCTGGCAAAGTTTGCCAAGCTCAGCGAGGTGGGAAGAAGGGACTCATTATTTTGCACTAGAGCTTGGCTTTGCTCTCCCATAGCTTTTTTCCATATGACACTATGGGACATGTTGAATTTGCATGCCATCAAAATTGCTTTTGCAACTGATTTTTTACCTCTGTGTGGCTGTTTCTCTATTTGGAGCGAGAGATAGCATGCTACTCCACTGGACTAAAGCGGGGAGACGTGAATTAACATCCTCCACTCCATGTAGCTGGGCACACTCTGGAATTACAAGCAACCGCTCAGCCCAAGGGAATGAACTTATCCCTAATGCAGCTTAGGTCTCGGGCAGGCTCAGTGCCCCGGCAAAAAAGCAACTCGGTTCAGTCATCGATGCTAAAAAAGAAAATATTTAAATTGAGGGTTATTTTAATTTTCAGAATATTGTCCACTGCTGCGTCTTCTTCTGTCCTCCCTCACCCCCCGATGTTTTGCTGAATTCTCTTCCAGTCTCTCAGAGGAGGGAGTGCTAACCATGCACAACAATATTAAAAAAAAAAAAAAAGAAACAAATTATAGTTATAACCAGAAGACGGCAATCCAAACCCAAGAAGAGAGCCGCTTCGGCGAATGTGGGGAGGGACAAAAGGTCACGGCTCCTCCATTGACCCGTGGATATTACGGCACGGCGAGAACGCAGATGGATCCTTCGTGTGCCGATCTGCACGCCCGGGCTCACCTGCGAGGGTCCGGGCTGGGCTCTGGGGTCACGAGTTGGGCCGTCCTTCCCGTTCCGCCAGGTTTTCGCTGTATTCGTACCCCCCGCAGTTAACATCGCGCAAAACGCCAAGCAAAATGAACAGACAACTGGGACGGCGTGGGGTTTTACCTGCGACGAATGCCAAGTCGCGCCGCGCCTTCAGTCCCACCTCAGAAGTCATAAATAAAATAAATAATTAATTAATAATAATAATAATAATGATTATAATAAAAATAAAGAAGCACTAAGTTCGCCCAGCAACTACCGAGCGGGATTTCTCGCCTCCTCTTGAAGCACATGCCCAGAGGTTTTGGTGAATCGAGGCCACGGGGAGGGGGTGTGCGTGTCGGGGGGGTGTCCGGGGACGGGAGGGGGGTGTCCGGCGGGA